CATTTACGAGAGATAATTAAATTAAAGCCCCGCCCACTTAAAAAAATTTAGTATAAAATAAGAAGGTCAAGCGAGCAAAGACCGTTAGAAATACAGCGAGATTTCCCTTTCAACTTACCGCCAACCCCTTTCTCTCACTTTGACAACCCAATCAAACCCTCTTATGGGCATTAACTAGTTACTTTCAGGTATTCCATAGGCTCTACTTAATTACCCTCGGACGCCTCCCTCTCTCAACCAAATCAATACATTTCATTTTCATTGAGTAAGGGTTATATTTTTTTACTATGATAATTATTATGTAATTATTAATAATGGTCCTTCTATTAGAGAGGGGTCATTAGGATATGAATCTCCTTTTAAAACACCTACCGAAATAATTTAATAAGTACAATAATAGGTATATAATTAATTATGTTCCTTTTATTTGAGAGGGTCATTAGGCTAGGGGTTATTGTTCATTAAACAAGGGGATAATTGTTCTCTGACCCCCCCCCTCTCCTTTAAATAATATGATTAATTACAATAATAATTGATTATTAATTATGGGCTTTTATAGAGAGTGTCATTAGGTACTTAAAAATTGATCACTAATTGACCACAGACCCCTCACATTCAACCACTTAATTAATTAATAAATACTTTTTAATTGCTAATTAGGGGCTTTATTAGAGAGGGTTTACATCATACCCCTTTAAGTGCCGCCAACCTCTTCCAGTCACTGGCTAATTGACAGCTGACCCTTAAATTCAGTCCATTTAATTAATTAATAATTACTTTTTAATTATTAATTTCTAATAATTTTTAATTACTCATTAATTATTAATTAATAATTAATTATCGGTCTTTTATTGGAGAATATTTACCACATAACCTTTCAACTGACCGCCAACCCTTCAATAGGCACTAGTTAATTGACAGCGGACCCCTCCCCAACCCTATCGGTCAAAAGGTTTGTCCATTCAAACCCTTCTTTGCCCTTAGGCTAATTGCCCGTTGACCCCTTCCCACCCCATTCTCCCTCAATAGGCTGATCAACCAAACCCTCCTTTAGGCACAGGCTATCCTCTCTCGGACCCCTCCCCCCACAGACCAACCAATACCTTTGAGTATAGTGCGGGAAATTTTACCGCAAATTCCAACGGTTCCTGTGTTTCTACTACTTACGACTCATTTTATCCACAATTATTTCACCCCTAATTAGGTATCTATCAGGGCTGGGCGAAATCAAAAAATAAAAAGCGAAACGCGAAACTTTTCGCGTATACTTCGAGTATACTTTGAGTTTAGCAATACTAAAGAACAGCCTATTGAGCCTCAGTTTTATTTCTAGGACCTAAATTACTAAAGTGCGACACACTATAAGATAGCTATTGAATCAAATTACTTCTGGCCACTGGGAGCAAAAAGCTGCTCAAGCAATACCTTCTAACTAGGATACGACTCATTTTAAGCCCACCTTATTTCACCCCAATCCCTTATATATAAGTAAGGTTTAACTATAATCCAAATTAAAAACTTCAACCCACTCTAGAATTAGCATTAGGTGTAGACGAATTGCTGTTGTTAGCCACCGGAGTTGTCGGCGTCGCCTCACCCCCATTGTTGTCTACATTATTATCAATTATGGCTGGTTTAATAGTACTATTAGAAGCATTTCTAGTTAAAAAATCTGGAGATAAATTATTATTAGTGTTGCCAATATTAATTGGTGTGGAGGCCGTCAAAATCTTTACTTCGTTGAAAACAGACATTTTTGATCCCAAAATTTTTATTTTTAATTTATTTTTGAAGTATTTTGATGAAAATAAAGGAGAGATTCTGTTTTGTCAAATAATTAATAATTTTGTTGTTTTTAGAAAAATGCATTAAATAAATTAATTTATTTAATTAAATTGGTTATAGTACATGACTACTGAAATTGAAAATGAATTTAGAAATTTAGTTGTGAGGGCGATTAAACGGCCGCGATTTTTACAAAATATAATTTAGTAAATTATTAAATAGTTGTATAAGAACATATGCATTATAAAACGAACATATGTTCATTGGCTTCATAATCTGTTAATTTTTTGGATGTTAGCAAAAAGCTGACAAAAAATGTCAAGGTCAGGTCATTGTTCTGCCTGACTTCTAAATGAGTTTACTCCCTTCTATGGTTTTCAATTTTCGAGGCCTATAAATGGTCTCTAGATTTCGACAAAGGAGATGAAACGATGAAGAGAACCTTTCTGACATCTGCTAGGATTCTGGGTACTGACCGAAATAATAGAATCAGATAATTGTAATGAAAGCTTGGATAATGCTTAATAAATAATATTTAATTTATAAAATTACATAGTCTCAAAGAAGTAAAAGTAAATCAATGTGTTGAACTGCAGTGACAAATTAATTTTTTTTGTATGTCAGTATTAAACTGACAAAACAATTTGCTTTCTAGAATAATATAAATTGATATTTATGGGTCCATTCAAGTCGATTTTTGTGTCATTCGACTCAGCTCGTCGAGCTCATTCGAATGAGCTATCATTCACATAAACTTTTTTTGTTCAAAAAAATCACCCTATGGTTTTTCAATTTTCAGGGGTCTGTATCTCGAACAAATCAAGTCGGATTTTTTTTGATTTTAGTGCCATTCGACACAGCCCGTTGTGATTTACATTCTTCTGAAGACTGACCATTTTTAACACCTTGAGAAAGAAAAAAGAAGGGGGTGTTACGACAACGCTTACGTAGAGAAGCTAACAGAAACGTTTATTGCACAAAGAAATACAAAGCAGATGAAGGTAGGCAGAAGAACTAAAACTGAGAGAGAGCGAACTAACTATTGGCTGGGCTTTTATACTAATCACTTTAAGGGCTGACGCCCATACACAACACCTCCCCCCTTGAAAAAAAGGTTCGGCTTCACTTAAAGCCGAAGCTTTACAATATACTAATACTTTCCAGCCAAACAACAAACAAAAAATACATACAATAATTTTGGGGGATAAGGACAATGGGAACAAAAAAATACATACAACATTACAACAAAAAATACAACAAAGTCCGATCCCCAAATCCAAAAGTCCGATTCCCAAATGTCGCGCCACGGTTTTTTTACCCTATTATTACTAGTTGGAATGTCCAACTTCCAAAAAATGAAATGATCCACTGGTGGGCGACAATTAAAGTTTTATTCTACTTTGATAACTTCACCAAAGCAGATTGAAATAATAATTATTTTGTAAATTCGATGCTACTTTAATAAGTAGAGACTGGATTTTTATGCAAATGCATATTTTTTTTGCAAACTTGGCATGATGTATAATGCACAAAAAACACTGTTTCCGCATGTTTTGAAAACTCTAGAGGGGGTTTCTATTTGCATATAATGCATATTTTTGCATATTCCGGCCTTTCGTGCATAAATGCATATTTTACTGCATATTTTGAGGTTTTTGGGGAAAATTACTCGAAAATTGCCCAAAATCCTACCAAAAATTGAAAATTTAGTAAAAATTTAGGAAAAAATTTGTAAAAATTACAAATTTTGTGAAAAAATTTTTTTGTTTTTGGGCGAGACCCAAAAATGTCCCGTACCCATAATGTTTCACGCCCAAAACGTCACATCCCAAAATGTCCCACCACCAAAACGTCTCATCTCAAAATGTCCAATAGATTAAAAATACTCAATTTGTCGAATTATACATCTAAAATGAGAGTAATCTTAATAAAAATAGGTGTTTTAATGTTTTTGATTCAAAAAAATTAAAAATTCTAGGTAAAAATTGCATTTTTGCTGCATAATTTCGTGAATATTTTGGTTTATTTGCATATTTTTGTGCATATTTTGTCAATTTTTTATGCATATTATAGTGCATATTTTGCATTTTTTAATGCATAAATATCCGGTCTCTATTAATAAGGCAAAAAATGCAAAATAAATTAGTAGCTTCCAAGACTCTTGGTCTTGAGTCTTCATTCAAAGCTTTTCTTTATGTTTTTTGGTCTTGGTCTTGGGGTCTAGTCTTGGTCTTGAGTCTTGGAAAATTTTCGGTCTTGTAAATCTCTATAAATTAACATAAATCTGCTTTTTACTACAAGATGCTTAACTCGTTCAAGTCTTTTATATTTCCTTCACAAAAGTTTTTTTCCGCCACATACGAAAATTTTGAGAATTCTGGAAGGGCCAAAAAGCCAGCTCCCTAATTTTAGATAGTGATACATAGATTAAATTTAGCCTAAGCATATTAGGCTTCCAAAAAATAAGGAACATCTTCTTGACCGTTTAGACGTTTGACAAACAAGTACATCTTTCTCTAATTCAAAAATTATTATTAAATTTCATACCTTTCAAAAGTAGAAAAAATTATTATTTTAAACATAAGGTTCTCAAGCTAATCAAATTGCCATCCCAATTTTGTTATGCCATGTAGAAAATTTAACAATGAAGAAGAGCATTAACAAAGCATGATGTATACTAAAACTAGCCTGTGTAAAACAGGCTTCCAAAAAATAACTTCATGTAATAAAAAATAGACACATAGACCAATGACCCTTTAAATAACTATTAAAAAAATTTATATGATTAATCTCATACCTTTCAAATGAAGTAAAATCATAGTAAACCATTATGCATCCAATAGGTATTGGGAGCCCCATTGGGCTTTTAATACTAAGGAAGAAATAAATCAAAGAAAATATGTCCAAGACTAAAACAAGACTAGACAAGACTAGAACTTACACTGTGGAGAAGCACTTCAAAAATCCCATTTAAATTTTTTAATTAGACTGGTAATTCCACCCAATACTCTCTTACAAAATTTTAGATTGCCCAATAATTCTAAAAGGTATACAATAATTAAAATAATAATTTATATTATTATTATTTGTTGATTCATAGATGGAAAACCTGATTTTGAAATTATTATTTTTTGGATGCCTAACAGCGCTTAGGCAAAAATCTCTTGCTTTACTCCGACTTGTTTTATCAAACCCAGTGATATTCTTTGACTAACCGCTCAAGAAAAACAAAAAAAGATTAAAACTTTCTACCTCACAAAAGCTCATTTTACTGTAGTTGATCACTTTAGGAAATCTCGTCGATTACTTTTGGAACTCCCATTTGAGCTATCTTTCTGGAAAAATCTCATAATCTCTCCAGCCAGGGGCTAGCAAAAGGACTTATTTCCTTCGCCTAAATTGTAACTTTATCGATCTGATATTTTAAAAGTATACAATAATTGAAATAATAAATTATATAAGGAAGATGCTTATCACAGGATATAACTCAAGAATTAATCCTGTTGTTATTTTTTAGAGCTTAGGTTGTTATTTTTTGGAGCTTATTTTTTGGAGCTTATTTGTTATGCTGCGTTTGCTTTCGATTTGAGTTTTAATTCGCTTTGCGTCTTGCAATAGAAAATGACATTTAGGGACGATATCATACAATTTAGCCGAAACTAGAGTTCGGCTTACAAAAATTAACATCGAATCTGCATGATCGGCAATAAGTTCAAAGACCATATACATATATAGAAACACAAAGAAATTAATAAATATTATTTAGAAACGCATAAATCATTGATCTAATTTGGGTGGGGACTTGATAATTTATTAAAAATTCTTTCGGTAAACTATATTAACAAATGAGATTTCCAGTTAAAATTTTAGCAATGAAATGCATTGCTTACAAAAATACGCCTATACCCCTAAATTTAAAAATACCACTTGATTACATTTTGTTTAGCTTATTTAATACTGAATATATAATAATAGATACTTTTCATTTATCCATATGACCTTACAGTAAATAACCAAATGGTAAGATCAAAGATTCCTTCGCATTTTAAAAATCGGCAGGCAAAATGCGGAAGAGGACGACCAAAAAAGGCAGAATTCTGTGAAGGCTGAAGCTGTTATTAATGGAGACAGGACTGAGAGGGTTGTACGAGAATCGAGATTTCGATAACCGAAATTTTTGTTTGAGGTATCTTCTCAGTTCGATTTCTAATAAAGACTTCTGTTTTGACCATTTCTTAATCAAAATTAATTTTGTTTATAAGTTCTCTGTATCTGTATTCAGAATACAGAATATACAGAATAAAATATACAGAAAAAAAATATACAAAAAAATAAAAATATAAAAAAAAATATAAAATATACAGAATACAGAATACAGAGACTTCAAAATTACAAACTTTTAGCCAAATTAAATGTTTGGCTTGCAAAAATATCACCAATAAAAATATTATTTACATTAATATCTATTGACTTAATTTATTTAAATATTAATTTTTAAATTGAAATTATAGATATGTAGCGAGATAGCTACACATTTAAAAGTTTTCAGAGTTTTTAATTCAAATTGTTTTGAGTACGGTAATGGTCAAACCTAGCTCTAAGAGCTATTCTAATCATAAATTTCTTTGCTATGTTTTCGACATCGATTTTGAAATTTTTTTATTTTTCAATTTTCGAAACTTTTTGGTTTGAAACAGCTTTGCCTCCAAAACTTCTAATATTTTAAAAAAAACTCTCATCCTCACAAATTTCTATAGCCTTTAACCTTACAAAATAGCTTTATTAAACTGCTTTTCTATCAAAACAGCTTTTATTTTCAATTCAATTCTTCCCGAATGCCTTCGAGTTTTTAAAACTGTTATTTAATTCCCTCACTTTTTCATTTATACATATTGTCAGTCACTTTATATGCTTTTCTGTCAGTTCGTATCAGGGTTGCCGCGGGTACAAAAAATCTTCGGGTACGGGTTTCGGGTATCGGGTTGGAGCGTTTTCATTTCGGGTCACGGGTTTCGGGTTGACAAAAATTTCGTGTACGGGTTTCGGGTTTGGCGAAAAATCCGGGTTATTTTCGGGTGTTCAGGTATTGGTGAACTAAATTGTAAGGAGACAAGCTATGTTGCATAATAGGATTTTGGGTGATATAGAGAGAGGATTTGAAGAGATTAAAGAGACATTGTGGGATTTGGGGATAAAGAGGGATATATTGGTAAAATCACCTTGATAAAATCCCACTATATACTAATATCCTTCCGCTTTATCTCCATTAAAGCCTCCAATTTTCTCCAGTTTTCAGCGCCGCAGGCGAAAATTTTGAGAATTTTTAAGGCAAGAAGCCAAATTTCTTCCATTTTTTGCGCCGCAGGCGAAAATTTTGAGAATTTTGTAAGGACTTATGAGGCCAGAACTCTTAATTATATGCGCTGCATTCAAGCTTAATTCATTCAAGCTTAAAATATTAAAAAAAATAAATTTTAAAATCTAAAATGTAAATCAAAGTTTAAAAACATTTATTTTTGAAAAGAAAAATTTTTTAGGCCTCATTTCCAGACCTGGGCTCGAACCGACCTCTATTAAAATATATAACCAGTCGCCTTACCCATTCAGCCACCGATGAACATAATGTAAATATGAAAGAAAATTATAAATATTCCTTTCCCTTTTCCTTTCTATAATTTTTTAAATTTATTTTAAAAAATCGGGTAAGGCTAAGTTTTCGGGTAGAAATTTCGGGTTTTAACCAATTTCGGGTCACGGGTTTCGGGTTTCGGGTTGAAAAATTTTCAATTCGGGTATCGGGTTTCGGGTACAAAAAAAGGCCGGGTTTCGGGTTTCGGGCGGCAACCCTGGTTCGTATAGATATTTTTGGAAGCCAAACTCCAGCTTTGGCTAAATTTTATACTGAAATGTTTATGAATTGTCTTTCTTTATCTGATCCTTGAATGCCTAATTTTCTTAAATAATTTTTACTGATTTTTTGTCACGTTCGTTTTAACATTTTCCTCTTAACAAGAAAGGATTTAATTCTTTAAATTTTATCTAAAAATTAAAAGTCGACATAATCCAGTCGGAAAGCATTTCAAAAATGAATAAAGTAACACAATTTAGCCAAATCTAGAGTTCGGCTCTCAAAAAATATTTTCACAATAATTCTACCACAAATAAAATAAACGTTGATTTACATAAATGAAAAAAATTAATAGATTAATTAACATTATTTAGAAACAGTTAAATAGCCAATCGAGTTCATTGGGAAAAGGTCTTGAAAATGTTTCGTACTTTTCCGTTATACGCCCGCAAATTCTAAGGATGTATTTTAGACATGTTTCATTTTTTTATCTTTCGATTCATCTCGTGGATCCTAGTTGAATGGTACCATTCGTTATTATCAGAAATGTCTAAACCGATAGATAGGTTTCCGGAGATTGTAAAACCATACGGGGAAGTAAGCTTATATTTGGAGTGAAAATTTCGCTATACACATGATAGCTCATTCGAAGAGTTTTCATAATACATTTATTTTAGGAGGGGCCATTCAAATGGAGGTGGCCATTCTATTTTCATAGCAGGGGTGTGCCGAAACAAAATTTAAAAGGCGAAAGACGAAAGGCGAAAAGGCGAAAGTCATTTTAAAAAGCGAAACACGAAAGACGAAAAGGCGAAAGTCATTTTAAAAAGCGAAACACGAAAGGCGAAAGACGAAACAGCAAAAAAGACGAAAATATGGCGAAAGACGAAAGGCGAAAGACGAAACATTATATTTTTCTCCCATGAAAAAATTCAAATTTAGGCTGCAGAATACGGACAAGCCTTTGAAATCCAATATCATCAATTATTGAAAAAGGCTAAATAATATATTGACACAATTAAAACTCAAAACCTGAATATCTACTGCAATCATTTCCATTATTGCCTTATTAACTTCAATTGTTTTTTCACCATCTTTAGACCATTGACCTAAAAAATATAGACAAAATTTCTAAGAATCTTTTTTACTTTTTGCTTCCAATGCAACTTCAATCCTAGGTTGCTTAGTAGGTCGATCCTTATCAAAAGAATCTTTACTCGTTGATTGACTTCGTAATGCCTCTTCAATACGAACTTGTGCCCTTTTTTCATTAGAAATAACTTTATTGTTCATTTCTGAATACTGCGAATAAAGTTGTGGGTGTTTCGTTTTTAAATGATAAATCAATGGTGTTGTTGGAGCTTTAGGTAGAAAATCTCTACTATAGTTGCAATTTTCATCAGAACAAAAAGCAACATTTGCTGTTTTTTTAAAATAATTCCAAATTTTTGACATAATTGAAATCTTAAAAGTGTGAATTAAAAATATTTAATGGCAATCTGAAAAATCTGAAAAATGTGAATTAAAAATATTTAATGGCTCTTTTCTCTTATTTCTTTGCTTTTCTCTCTTTTTCATTTCTTTTTTCCTTCTCTTTCTTTTTCTTTTCTTCCCGCGTTATCACCTTTCCCTCACATAACTGTCATTAGGGGTGTATAATATTTTCGCCTTTCGCCCGAAAAAGCGAAAGACGAAAGGCGAAAAGGCGAAAGTCAATTTAAAAAGCGAAAGACGAAAGGCGAAAGACGAAAGATCAAAAAAGACGAAAATAAGGCGAAAGACGAAAGGCGAAAGACGAAACGGCACACCCCTGTTTCATAGGTTAAAAATAGATATTGAATGAGACGAATATACTACCTAATATTTTCCGAACTCGAAATTTTACCGAATTTTTTTGTTAAAATTTGATATTTTGAATTTATTTAGTATATTTTTCTCCACGTTAGACTATAAAACGCAGAAGTTTTATGTCTGCCCTGCTATAAATTAAAATTTTGATTAACATCGAAGTCAAAAAATAAAAATTTACTGTACAGTAAGGTTGGCGGTTCCGGGTATCCGGAACCGAAAAAACCTCGGATATCCGAAATCTTCGGTTCGGATACCGGTTCCGGTTCCGGATATCCGAAAGTTTCGGTTCGGATATCGGTTCCGGTTCCGAATATCCGGAGATTTCCCAGGAACCGCCATCCTTACTGTACAGTTAGTTCTAATAGTTTATAGTATTGAGTAATTTGGGCAAAATATAGAGGGATCAGAGTATTTAGAGGGATTTTGAAGGTATTCATGAATTTTATGCTTAAATTGATATCAGGGAGATTTTAAGAGACAGAGAATTTATTGGGATTTGGAGGGATATTGAACAAGTTGGAGGATAAGTGATTGAGGATATAATTAATTTTGAGGATTTGGTGGGATATTATGTTATTTGAAAACATCCATTTCTTTTTCAAAAATATTAAAATCACCCATATTTCAAAAATAGAAATATTATCCACGTTATCCTACAAATCCTCAAATCCCCGATATCCTCCAAATCCTCGATATTACTCCGAATCCAAAAACCCTCTTGTTAAACGAACCCCTGAATGTCTTTCCCTAATTATTTTAATCTTCAGATGGTTTCACCAAATCCTTTTGATCGATTGATATCTTTATTAATCCTCCCAAATCAACCGATATCCTTTTTAATCCCTTTTTTGACTCTAACCTTCTCAAAAATATCACAATTATCCGTACAGAAAGGAATATTAAATTAGTTAATAAAGGGATTAAAGAAATATGAGTTAGGTAGTTTCATGGGCCATGGGGCCATTCAAATGGAGGGGCCATTCAATTAGAATAAATACGGTAATTATCATTATTTAAAACCAATAAATCAAAGCCAAAAATTGGC